TCTTTAGATCAGATAATTTTTGAATTTATTTGGGTCACAAACGCATGGGGTTTTCAGAAATTTGAACTCCAACTGAATCAACTGAAAATTTCAATATATTGAATGAAAATGTTTGTATCGTAATTTAGCTTAAATTCTTTATTATATTGATTTGTTCTTTATTATATATCTGGGAAGAAAGTCAAATCATTTTTGTTAATTTGTTTCTAAAACCACTTTCAACTTGAATTCTTGAATATCTTTTGCCAAGTCCCAAATTAATTTATTCTTTCCTTGTAGACTCACAATCAACTATCGTTCGATAGAATTAAAATTATTATTTGAAAAATATTAAAGTGTCCAAGTGACCACTAGTTTAAAGAGCACTGGTATAGATGATACTGCATGCGAAGCTCGTTTGCAATTTGACTTAAAATACATACATATATTATATTTTCTATCGAGTACATAGTTCTAGACACATCTTTGCACTGAGGGCACATACGATAAAGGCAATTTAATTATGACTAGGCATCCAGAGAACAATATAATCAGATTATTTAGTAATGTTTCTTTATCAGTAAACAAACCGAGATCTAATGTACATTGCATGCACTTATGCCTATACGAGTATAGGTAATTTAAGTACATGTCATTGTGTTGACCAAACAAACCAGTTCTTTGGCTCAAGGCTTTTTATGTAAGATTTGCAAAGTGAATTATAAATTCATAAAACGAAAAAAAAAAAATATTTTGCCAAATCTTTTTCTCGAAAACTCCTAACGCCGACTTATCAGATCGTAGGACGGAAACAATGAGTGACTTGTAGAGTTTGTCCTCGTTCCCTCCATACCCATTCGCCTCGATCCCTTATTAAGTCTGGAGAAAGAAGAACTCAGGGCGCGGTTGTTAAGGTCAATAATGTCAATATCAGCAACGTACTTCAGGACCTGTACACTCTTATAGACGATTGTACCTTTCCTTTTCAACTCTCCTATTTGTATTATTTTTCCCGGCAATAAAATGCAGAAATCACACGATAAGGAATCACCTTGTCTGTAACCTTCTTGTGTGTGGCTTAAGGCCAGTTTACAAAGCCGTAGAGGAAGATGTAGAGTCGAAGGCTGCTTTAAAATCGACGAAGAGGTGGTGCTTGTCGATCTGCATTTCATGGGCCTTTTCCAAGATTAGGCGCATGGTGAATATCTCGTCAATGAATTAGGACTAAAACCAAACTGATGAGGTTCAATCAGTGCGTTGATGGTGGACATGATTTTATCTGACCACATTTTGCAAAGAAGCTTACACCTTATTAGCTCTTCATCGCCGTATTTGAATAGCTCGACAAGTTATCCATCGGTCTCTGCCACTTTGCTGTTTTTTAAACGGGCGATTGCTATTCTAACTTCTTCATAGTCGGGTAACGAAAAGTCTTTTCCATTGCTTCGATATCTTGGTGTTTTGTTTTACTGCCATTCAGTATGCTGGGGAAATGTTTCCTTCATAAATTCAATATGCTCAGGGCATCCGTTACTAAACCACCTCCTTATGTCCAACAAGAGTCTGCTCCGTTCTTAAAACCTTCTATTAGGCGTCGTATTTTTTCATTAAATTTTCGAGAATTACTCTTGTCGGTCAAATTCTCAAGCTCTTCATACTCACACATCTCAGCCTCTTTCTTTTTTGTCTGGAATTGCGTCTTGCTTCCCTCTTCAGCTCTCGGTCTCTATTTCATCCCGCAAGTGTTGCGGTCGATCACAACGTTGCGATGTAAACATTCTGTTTTCTCTTCGACCTTTACGAAATTGAATAGTTTCGTTTGCAGCTGTACGTAGGGAGCTTGAAATACCGTTCCACAGTTCCCCTATACCGAGTCGCTGATAAGTGCTCTCAGAGAGCAGGAGTCAAGTCGGGGAGAAAACCGCACGGCAGTCTGTTGAGATTGCAGCTTTACTACGTCGAACTTTCCTTGTGTTTGTTGATGGGAGTTCTTTGTTATAGTGTATATTTGCTGCAACAAGATAGTTTTGGGTCCTCAAAGTGTACACACGTTAAGAACACTGGATACATGTCTTCCGTCTATCAAAAAACGATTGATCTGGTTATGAATTTTTCAATCAGGTGACAGCCTATTAGCTGTATGTATTTTCTTGTGCTGCAATATAGTGCTACAGACAACCATATTTCGAGCTCCGGCGGAGTAGATCAGCCTCAACCTATTAGGGGATGTTCCATTGTGGAGGCTGAATTTTCCGACAGTCGTACCAAAGATAGCTTCTTTACCCACCCTGGTTTTAAAATTGACCAGCGCGATTTTCACCGTGGTGAATGTCAGTACTCGGCGGCGCCAAATTTGCGCTCCTTTATATGGCCACTGTAGTAAATGTCACAAGGACCTACTCGCTTTCGTCCTACTTACTTACTTAATTACTTAGTTCCTTAGTTCGTTTTCGATGGTCGTAATCAAAAAAGGAGTGTATCTCGAGGCGTTGCATAACTTTTCATTGGGGGTGGTTTCTCTGTGACGGGTCCAAATCCTGCGTACAACCTCGCTGGTACATATTTTTATAGCGAGCCGCTTGCTTCAACGCCGACGCCCGCTCGTAGCCGCAACTCTGGTAAACAGATGCTGCAATGACTTCAGCGAACTCTTAAACCCAAAAAATCGGAGTGGCTTCACTGAAGCTTTCTATCTTTTAGTCGTGACCCAAGGCTCCAAATGGGTTGCTCACATTTCCAGGGTGCGCGACGTGAAAGCAAGAGTAGGAATAGAGTATAACCCCGCGACTGTAAGCTTGACTACAACCCATTACATTAGTTTTCATCGGATACTTTTTTTTAATAAAAAAAAGATGCTAAGCCGCCTAAAAACATTTATCTATTGTATAATCAGAAAAAGTACTAATCATTTCAAATTTTATGTTAGTAAGGTTTAATTTTCTTTACTGACTTTACAATGTAATAAGTTGAAAATAAAATACAAATTTTAGTTGACATTTTCTTTTTTGTGCTACCTTCTTCGCTTGAAAAAAATCTACTACTTTTAAGTAAAAACTATGTAACGTATTTTAGTATTGTTTAATAGTGGACTTCAACGGTTGTTGATTGTTGTATAATATTAGAAACTTGATAGAAAGTGTCAAAAAGGCAATATATTGACCCAACAAAATTTAAATCGAATTCAAGAAAATCAGGAGTTTACTGGCCTTGCTATTTCTACCTGTGCGGTTTAATTCAGATCAAAATTTTGTAAGCAGACAGAATATTATTTTAATAATTGTTTGTTTTCCAAAACATTTAAAATTAATTTAAGCGATTAGTTAAACAGGTTGCTCGATCAAGGAACACTAATCCAGCGCACTCAGAACTGCTGGCCCGTTGTCATACCTGCGAAGGAGATTCCTCTCAAATCACTTGGTATATTTTATGAATTAATAATGCGTACAGTTGCGAGCAAATGACACGCAATCAAAGATCTATGTCGTTTGAGAAGCAGCCCATTCTTCTATCATGAATCCGAATAATACAGTGCCCGGTTATTTTGCGAGTTGTTATGCTTTCGGAAGTGCTCTTTCAAAGAAGTAAATAATTAGTTCTGTTGACTTCGATCATTGACCAGATTTGTCTGGCCACATTATGGGTGGTGTCACACAGTCACCTGCTGTTGGTTGTTCTGGTGAAAGTTAATCTTAACAGACACTTTGGCGAAAGAATAGAGGTATGCCCACGTCATGTGCAAAAGTTTACCGGGGCTATAAGTACTGGTCTACTCATCGGCTTCAGAATTCACTGGTTTGTCCCTCAGACCAGGAACCCAAACCACAGGTGTTTTCTACAGAGTAGAAAAAACTTAAGAACGCAAATTTCTGGAAAAAATAAAAAATGTTAGCTCTATCCAAGTTTGTCTATAATAAAAACCATCTAAAAATTTCTCATCTTATTTTTGCCGTCTAAGAAAGACGGATTGAAACTAATATTTTAATACATCCATATGCTTAGAAGTTATCCCCAAAATTAATGAAAAAATTTCCAAATCGAATATTTTATAAGTGGCAAGATCAAACCATTCTGAGCGAACACGTTTAGTATCGAAAATTTCGAAGTGAACCTACCTTATAGAATTTTTGTGTCATGGTCCGTAATACGAGTTTTAGAGATTATGATTTTCACCGACACATATCTATATGGCAGATAGCTTGCAAAGCAATGCAACATCTTCCCCACAGTACCAGGTTTTTATACCTTGCATGAACATGAAATGGTATATTAACTTTGGTCCGAAGTCTGAAGTACCAGAACGCAAAGAGATAGACCCCCTTAAATTTATATCGACATGATCAGATTGACGAGTTGAGTTGATTTAGCCATTTCTCTATTTTTTTTTTATCATAATGATCATTTTTCGGAACTATTATACCATAAAACCGATTTCTGAAGATATGCGAATTTGTGTTAAAAATACTTCAATAAAGTTTATAAGAATATAAAATTTAGTACTCTGCTCGCATATAATGAATCGCTTATTGGTACTGAAAATCATCGAAATAGGAGGATGTTTATATATGAGGTTTTGGGTCGCAAATCCTTCGAAGAAGCATCTAGAAGCGTTAAATTTGAAATTTTGCACTCATAAGCAGTTTCTGCCTATTCATCCCCCGTAATTACTGAAATCATAAACATACACGAAAAATCCCCTTCTATAGGAGCTATTGTACATTGGATAGTTATACGGTGACATTGATGTAGTTCAGCGAACTTAGAAACAGCGGTTACGCTGGCCTGGTCTTGTTGTCCGAATGGATGAAGAAGATTTGATATTCGTCCGACATAATCGGTTTCAGTAAATGATAAACTTTCACCAAATATGAAATCATTCTTAAAGAGAGTTACAGGTAGGGTCTAGCGCATTCTAATCATAACATCTTAAAATTCTTAAAAAGAAATAGAAAATCTCTAATTATATGTTACTTAAACGACTAAAAATTTAAATTATATTGCTTTTTTTTCTTTTTTGATTTCAGAAGCCCAGCAATTACACGTGGCCCCTAGCTACCGCCACTCCGCCTGTAATAGGCAGTTCAACAGTCGAAGCAGTAAACAATACAGCGCCATCCAGTAGAAACGTTTCTGGCGTAAATCATACGGCAACACACCATATTAACTTGCCGCCGTCTTCAGGTTCAGCCACGCCAACACCACCCGTTGGCGGATTAGATTTGCAGGCAGTGGTTTCGGGTGAGGCAAGACATAGTTTTGAGGCAACTTTAAAATCTCCAACTCAACAACAATCGACTACGTCACACTCACCTTCGGCACAAGATCATTTAGAGCAAAATCATCAGCGTAGCTCTGTATCATCAAGTCAATTGAATAATCAGCAACAACAACAGCATCAATCTCATACACAACGTAGCTTACACTCTACAGAGTCGACTCCGAATTCACCAACAACTGTCAACACTACAACAGCAGTGAGTGCCGCCGGCGTAACCACCACAATGCCAATCGGTGGAGTTCAGGGTCAAAATCCCACACAGGGTCTAGTGCATTGGATGAGTGCGGTAATGGCTGAACATATGACCGGACAGACGCATCACGATCCAACGGCGGTTGGGATGCATTACATGTGGAATGGCAATATGGATGTAAGTAAAAGTCGTCTGACAGATAATCCGTAAGAATTAATCAAAATTTATTTAATTTATTTCGATTGACCATTCCTTAAAGCCCTTTGCTTCTCGTCAGGCGGTAATGCGCTAGGATCTAATGCAACCTTTACGCAGCCTCGTCTTAACCTCACTATAATTTTGTTTTTTTATTTAATTACGGAAACTTTTAATGAGTGCATTTTACCTTTTGTATCCACTATTTGTCGCCTTTTATAAACTTTGTTGACTACCCAACCCAAAAGAATATGTATGAATGGAGGATAGGAAACTTTTTCGTTTAGTATTGACCAAGACTTTTAATTTTCACAATTCGCTACAAGCTTTTTACCATTTTTTTTTATTCACTTCGAATACTCATATTCAATGTGAGTAGATGAAAAGCATTTTTCGCGAATTCCGCGCCAAAGTGCAAATTAAGTGAACTAAGTTTGGACACGTCAGCGACTTTCCTCATTTTGTTTAAGGAAAACTTTGTTGCCCTCGTTGAATTTGCGCAAACAAGCAGAATTGAATTGGTCGTGAATGTTTTTATATATTACATATAAATAAATATGTATATGCACTTAATAAAAAAAAACAAAATTTATGTTACTTTATTTAATACATTTTATTACTCAGAGAATAAATATGTATAAAATTTCGCAAAAGCTTTTATTTATGCGAAGCCCGTAAACCCTTGCATAACTTTAGGCGCCGGCTAATTTCTTCCTGCATACCATAAAATTTAATAACATGCAATTAGTCTTATATATTTCAGTAAATGTACGATATTTTTAAGGATTTTACTAGATTTGTAAATTAAACAGATTATAAATTTACATATTTGCGTGTGCATAGGCTTCAGGCAAAAAGACAAGGCAAATAAAAATATATTTTTTACACTCACTTTCTAACTCTAAATTTTTCTCAATTTTTTTTTGCCCTATTTCTTTATGTCCGGTTGATGTAAATTTATTATTATTATGGTGTTATCACCCCACAGTTTTATTTTAGAATTGTTTTTCAACGTAGCGCATTTTAATCAAGTCTAAAACAATTGATCTGCTTGAGATTTGATAAAACAAAATTTCTATTTTTTTTTTTTAATATGCAAACATATTAATTTATATATTATTTTATGAAATCGCATTAAAAATCGTATTCTGAGTACATTTTTTTACTTCAACCTACGTGGTCCGACATTTATCAGCTTTACATATGAAAATCTTATGTTCGTTTGGCAGAAATTTCGAAATTTTGTCAGCTTGTTTCTTTGATATAGTAAGTGGACCAGGGACTGAACTAACGAATAAAGTGGATTTATCCTTATAGAAGACGGTATTTTGCTTATAGAAGAAGGCTTCTGCTTAAATGAACAGGAAGATCACTGTTATTTCCTGCAAGTCGAGCAGAGACTGACCTATTCGGAAAAATCCGAAATCAGCTTCGAGATATAAATAATACTTTTTTACGAGAAAAACGTAACCTACAGATTGACAAATATTAATATCATTTATACGTTTAAGTTGAGTAGTGAAAAAAATAGTTCCGAATTGGTCGAGGCGTTCACATTGACATTTTCGTGAAAGACTTTAAGCAGCGAAGAAGTGACTCAAATAAATATCTTACTTTCTTTTGTATATCTAAAAAAGTTACCGCCCGACTGAAATTTCTATACAACAGCGATTCGATCAACACCAGCGGACGAGATCAACACTTTTCTAAAATACTCAACGTTTTAGTGACATGTGCAAGCCCTACAAATAACCACCAACATGCATGCCAACCTAAGAAATGATCCATCGGCCGATGTCCTGTTACGCCATTTACTGGAAATGGGGAACAGCAAATTGCCAATTGATCGGATTTCTAGACGGAAAACATTGCTTCTATAATTTAGTGACATCTCATATATCCAAACCAAGAGATAATGGTTTGTTAAGTGTGCGTGCTATCCTCGTTACCACAAATAGTTATATTCACGATCTCAACCATACTATTCAGTTTATCCTGGAAAGCGTATCCACCACACATACTTACATACGTGTAAAAGTCAATAGCCACCGTTATGAAAACACATGCGGCAGTCGAATATCCAATAGGAGTCTGAGACTTACATATATGGGCTTCCACCGCACATATTAAATTTGAAAATCGTTGTGCAATAGAAGCGTTCATATCTGAAGAGGTGGAAATATACCTGTTTCTCGAATCCGTATTATTTTGTCCGATACTCCCTTTTAATTCAATCGATTACAGTCCCTGTTCGACTAGCGTTTACAATCACTATTAAGAAAGCTCTGGGCAGATCTTTGGAATTGTGTGGTCTAGATTTAGATACTATCTAGTACTTCTCTAACTTGGTTACATAGTTATCATATATTAATTATAGTGAAGTGAAGAAAATATTACGGTCCTAGCTGAGAGGCTGAGAGTGTACACGAAGACCATGGGGAGTCGTGGGGAATGACTTGGCGTATTTTACGTCAACATCTTGTATTGGAAGCATACAAATAATAGCTTGTGCATGAACTGAATCCGCACGGCCGTCCCAAGCGATACAGCTGCGCTCAATGGCATCTTGGAAAGTTCTATGAAGACCTGACGTTGTCAAACCGAATTTTGTTCTGGTTCAACGGGTATGTGAACAAGCCACAAAGGGAAAGAGCTACCATTTCCTCCAGAAAAAATTACGGTTTGTGGTGGGGTTTGTCGTTGGAATCACCTGTCTATATTTCTTCAAAGATAGTGCCGGTGAGAGCGTAGCCGTCAATGGTGAACATTATCGCTCATTGATAACCGACTAATTGATGCCTGAAATTGAAACTCGTGATCTCGCGACATTTACTTTCCACAAGACGGCGCCACTTCCCACACATTGCACCAATCGATGGATATATCGAGAGAACACTTCGGTGAGCAGATAATTTCACGATTCGGGCCAGTCGATTGGTCACCAAGATCGTGCGGCTCCAGTCTAAAGTCTATGCGGACAATCCAGATTCAATTTTAGCTTTGAAGCAAAACATCACTCGTGTCATTTATGTAACTAAGAATATGGATTTCATGTGAACTACTGATGACAACTTATAGAACCTATACAGAGATGTTTGCAGGTTCACTCTTTGGGCATTTTCAGACATGTCAGATAACCGTTAAGTGAATAACTTAGTAGCTACGCCGCATTTCCCTTCTAACCATAAACTTAGATGATATTTTCCAACAAGACTTGTCCTAAAGTTTTTCATATTGTCTTTACGTTGGTTATAATACCGTTTCTTACGCCCAAATGTATGCAACTGTGTGGCGAAATTGTAGCAGCTTTAAAACAAAAGAAAGCGGAAAAGCCTACGTTAACCAACTGCTGCGAAATATTTGCCTGATCCACTGTGGACAGCGAGGCCACAAAAACCGCCAATTTCCAATATATTAATGTGTTGAATGTGTTAAAGTTTTGTTTTCGTTGAATTTTTCATAAAAATTTTGTGCAAATGCAAATAAAGTATTTCGTTGAACCAACGTGGTAGTGTTCGTGTACATGGAAGAGAGGAGAAAGAGTGAAGGAGGTAGCGAAAAAGCCAGAGAGAGAAAGCATATACACAAAGTGTTGCGGTATGGGCAACAAAAAATTCAAATTCTAACCTCAAACCTTTAGGGTGTCATACGTACACACATAAAAGCAAAAACAACAATAACCACAGCATCAAGAGCAGAAAGAGTGGGTGGTAATGGCGACACAACAGTCGGATTTTTTTCGTTGTTGTCTACCAGCTGACAGACATGCATTGGGAAGCGGTAGTATTCTGCCATCGTTGTTGTTGCTGTTGCAGAACATACATATGTACAAATATTCATACACATAAATACAAATATATGTATGTATGTATGTATATATGAATGTAGGCTCGTTGGCAAGCACGAATGTGTGTAACGCTGTTGACCAGGCTTTCGTGTTTGCTGTAAACATGTTTGTATGTATGTATGTATATATGGCTACGTTGCTGCCGCCTTTGTTGTTGCATTAAGCATTCTAGCGCTTTTCGTTTTTATATAGCGTTCATTAAAAAAAGTTGTTGCCGCTACTGGAAAAAATCAATAGAACCAGACAGGCAAAAAAATACTAGCGCGCCCTGCGAAAATTCAAATAAAAACAAAACCAACAAAAACTAAAAATAAAATTCAAAACCTGGCATTTTTACCGAAAAAAAACAATCAAAAGAGAAAAAATGCAAAGCAAAGAGGGAGAGAGAGAGAGAGAGAGTACGAGTAGAGAAGAGCGGGGCGCGAAAAAAGTGAATACTCAAAACACAAAAATTTTCTAAAAGAAATGCGAAAAAATTGTACATCTGCCATAAAAAAAAAGGTTGCCACCCCAAAATAAACCACCAGGAAATGGGGTAAGGACTGCTCGTGAAGCGAAAGTGGAGGAAAAGGTTTGATGTAATAGACGTAGGAGAGAGGTACAAATTAATGGCAAAAGGACACAACGTACCAAAAGGGCAGCAAATGTGAGCGTGAATGAAAAGCAAGGGGGCGTGGAGGAGTGGAGGGCATAAAAACGTAATAAATGTGGGGTTTAGGAAAAGTTTCGTTTTTCTTTTCAAACAACAACACGATATTGTAATGAAGCGAGCTGAACCGTTGCCTCTCTCATACACTGCACTGTGACGGTGTAGTAACTTAAGTCTCTGAGAAGGCGTAGAAAGGGTAAAGAAGGTAAGCCATGATGCTTACTGTCTTAACTGCACTTGATAAGTAGACTCTTAACATAAAGCATTTGACGTCCGGCGTTTGTTGAGTCAGTAATGCAATTAGTTAGCAATGTTTGCTACGAGCCGATCGGGGGTTCAAATTCCGATCTTAGATTAATATCTACCGATGAACATCTAAAACTTTCAGGCTGAAGGTGCGTATAAAATTCCAATTATATGGAAAGAGCTACAGTTCATTCCAATATTGTTTTCATTCATTTTTTTCTCTTTCAAATTTTACCTATT